AGAGACATTGATAAATTTCCCTGCTGAACAATCAATAAAAGCCCCGCCATGCTGTTCAGACTCCCACTGTGGAAGCAAGGGCCGTAATTACATTGTCAAAAATTCAAGTTGCCCAGGCTGACAGCGACCCCTTGAAAAGTGACATGTGATTGGCACTCGGTTTAGGGTGGTGAACCTGGATTGGCAGACAGAGTGAGGAAGGCAAAAGGCAAGAGTGAAATTTCCTTATTGACTACAACTACCCAAACCCCAGACTGCCCCTCTTGGAGGGATCCTGAGACCCTTTAGTCATATTAAATATCCAAGTGAGTAGTGGACAGAACTCCCTGAGCCACTGAACTCCATGAGAGATTCAGAACACGCCCTGCCCCAATCCGCTCCCAAACCCAGAGAAAGAGAGAGAGTGCTGCATGTGGCTGAGTGTTCATGTAGGTGTATGTGTGTGCATGTGCGTGCACATGAATGCATTTTTCTACATTAAAAGAAAAACATGAAATGTGCTTTCAAGTCCATCCTTCCTCGTGACAGCTGAACAGCAAAGCCTGTTTGCTTAGCAATTTTAATCGATGATAAAAACCAGCCTGAGCGGAAAGGTTACAGGGGTGGCAATGAAGAATGATATGGGAAGGAGAAGGTGGGGAAAGCTGTATGACTGACCCGCAGACCCATCTGTGTGATTCTCTAGGACCCGAGCTGGAGTTAAATTGGTCTCCATCAGTCAGGCCTCTTACTGTTGCATGCTAGGAATAAAACGCCTGCAAAACGCTTCATTTGCTCAGCAGTGCTCCGCTTCTGGCTAAACTGAGGAGCATGAAAATGATTTCCAAGAAGCCTTTATTGTAACCACGCCCGGGAATGGTGGTTATTCACTGCTGGGAAACAGCTGCACCAGGAAAGATTACAATCAAAAGGTGTTCTTCACTAGGTGTGGGAACAGAACAGAAGCTGCCTGGGAATGTGGCTGCCTCATGATCTCCAAAGCTAAAATCCTTCTCTTGCTTAGAAAAAACGTAGACAGAAATTAACAAGGAGAGAAATCTCTAGGCAGAACTAGCCTCATGCCAAATTTTGAAAGAGAGGTCCCTCCCTGGCCCCTCTAAAAGAAAATGAGATCACTGACATTGGATACTCAGTGGGAGAAAAAAAAAAAGAATATAATCAAAATAGCCGTGGCTAACACTGCTTGAGTGTTAGCAAGTACCTGATGCTTCGGAGCAGTTCACAAGCAGTAAGTCTAGGGGGTGAAGATTGTGTTTTCCTGCTTTTAGGGAAATTAACTTGCCCAAGGTCATAGCTGATAAGCTGCAGACCTGCACTAATTTATGATTCCAAAACTATTAACCACTAAAAACAGCACTTTTCCAAGTGCAGTCAGTGGGATACTCCACTCAAATCATCCGAGGGATCCATTGAAGTGCACATTCCTGGGTCCCCCTCAGGCCATTGGAGCCAAGCTCTGGGGGTGAGACCCAGAAACCTGCATTGTGGAAACCTCCTGGAGAAGAGTCTTCTAGGCACTAAAGTTGGTGAACCTCTTCACTGAAAGCTGAGTGAACCCTGGGTCATTAGGGACCTTCTGGGTGCCAAGCTGTGAATCAAGTCGCTCCCTGTTTTGCATACTTGACAACCAAAGAAAATTAGTTTCTCCCCAAAGCCCCAGTGTCAGCAGACCCACCTCTGGCCCTGGGAAAAGGCCAGCAAAATTACGTAACGATTTTAACTATGATGTACCGCCATGCCGGAGGGGAAATCTGTTTGAGACCTCAGGTGGTGAGGGAGGAAGGCGAAGGGAGAGGATTGATGAATTCTGTCTGTGACTGGATTCTCTGACTGAGACTGTGTGGAGGGAGTTCCTCTCCTAGTGGTAAGATCTTTCCCACATCACATTTCTTTCAAATGAGTGAGATGCAGCAGCATCATGTCAGAGTGGAAAACAGCTTGATTTTGCCTGTGTCCGGTGTGCAAGCTCTATGTCTTGGGAGAGATTCCCATCACTCCTATCTTGGTGGGGCTTTGGGGGAACAGTTGTTGATGACAACCTAACCCTGGGAATACAGGGAAGATGGGAGCTGGGGGTTCTGGGGAAAGGTGGAAGAGCAGGGGAGAAGACAGAAACAGGGGAGCAGGTGAAGAGATGTCTACACTCTTAATATCCTGTAACATCACAAGGTTCAAGTAGCAACATTTTTTTTAACTTTCAGAATCTCAAAACATATTAAAAGCATGTACTTTGCTTCAATTTCCCCCTATTGATTGCAAGAAATGACACTCGGGATTTCCTTAACTTGACATCTATTTAAACATAAAAGCTTAGGAGCACAGGGTACATTTAAAATCCAGGCACGAAAAGTGTATTTATTAACTCTTTCACTGATCCTTCATAATAGTATGTGAAAATGAAAAGCGTTGGGGTAAAAAAGAAAAAAAAAAAAAGGCAGGGTGAAGAATTAGGAGAGTTTTCACTCTTCTCCATTTGAATTTCCATTTCTAGCAAGGATTTTGTCATATGCGTCATAGAGGACAGTGGCTCTCAAACCAGAGGACCCCTATTAGGATTCAAGGTCCTTCAGATGGTCTATGGCAGGGGTGGGCAAACTTTTTGACTCGAGGGCCACAATGGGTTCTTAAACTGGACCGGAGGGCCGGGACAAAAGCATGGATGGAGTGTTTGTGTGAACTAATATAAATTCAAAGTAAACATCATTACATAAAAGGGTACAGTCTTTTTTTTTTTTTTTAGTTTTATTCATTTCAAACGGGCCGGATCCGGCCTGCGGGCCGTAGTTTGCCCACGGCTGGTCTATGGGCTGGTAGGAACAGTGATGTGCCCTCTTCTTCTCCAGCTATGTTTTCTCAGTGGCAAACAGCAACACTTTGGGTGGGTTTCCCAAGTAGCTGTTGGACTAAAGCAAACATTTGAAGACTGTGGCTGATGTGTGAATAGATAGAAGACCCTCATGGATCCTGGGTTACAAGATTAATATAAGCGCTTGCTGATAAAGATAGGAGAAAAAAGTCCTCCTTATTTTGAATGTCTATCCAGGTAGTTATGGGTTTTTCAAACCTGATAAAATGTATCCCCAGTGCCTAGCACTCTGGCTGATCCATCGTCAACACTTAGTGGATACTTAACAAAAAATATTGATTTTGCTTCCTCTCCAAGAAACCTTGAGACAATGATTGAGGCTCACTGTAATAGACAGGGCTTGACAGAACAAAATGGCAGACTCCTCAGCATAGCTAAATGCCCATGTCTAGAATTATTATTCCGTGACAGAGAATGGGGTTTTATTTGGTTATGCCAGCCCAGGAATGCCAATGCAGACAATATCATGATTCCTAGAGACTGGCCACTATCTGGAGATCATATTTTTCATCTGCCTTTGGCTCATGCTATGTAACCCAAAGTATATAAGTATCCACTAAAAGATAATTAAAACTCATCCTATATAATAAAGAGCTAATATGCAAATGGTTGTCATGCCCTTGTGCCCTCATGCCCTCGCACCAGGACAGGGGGACCTGAGGACAGGCGGGGGGACCTGAGGCCGTGCCCTGCGCCTCGGCGCCAGGCTAGGGGACCTGAGGCTGCTCCCCCCACCTGGAGGGGCTTGACAGGGGACCTGAGGCTGTGCCCCAGCTCCAGCGCTGAAGCCAGAGGACCTGAGGATGTGCCCCCCCGCCCTGCAGTGCTTGACTGGGGTGGGGCCGGCCAGGTCTGGGTCTTGCATGATTTCTAGGTGCAAGCAGGTGGGCAGGGACTTGACTCTGGGTCCCATGGCACACCCCAGATTCTGACAAGAGGGAGATTTTCATATACATTTTACTAATTTTCTTTCATCTCTGACACTTCTATTCTAGAGAAAGGCCAAGTAGCAATATTAAAATATTTCCTCTAATTAATTCCCTTTTAATGTGCACGAATTTTGTGCACCGGGCCACTAGTTATTTTATATTTACATTTTCCAGTTGATATTAAGAATTTTCCTGGCACAGTCAGCAATATCCTGAATCTCAAGGAAAATAAAAATGTTCATGTTTCAAAGTGGTAATAATGATCAGAAGGCAAATAAGCCTGGCCAGTGGAGGGCTTAGAAGGGGTCAATGGGGGAGAAAGGGGTACATCTGTATAACTTTCAATAAGAAAGATAAATTTTTAAAAATAAAAATAAAAAGAGGAAATTTCCTTCTTAAAAAAAAAAGAAGGCAAATAAAATAGGAGCAGAAACACATTGCAGCCTAATCCCCGTTTTCTCTGAGAAATACCCAACACATTTGAACCAAAAATCCAAGAGGAACGCTAACTGAACCCTCTTCACAGGAGATTCAGCCACAACTATAACAAAATGAAATTGTCTCCATTTAGTTCATGATGCCATCAGTGTGTATAGCCATCAGTGTATGTGAAGTAATTGTGTCACTTGGTTTTCACTACATTGGGCTGCAATTACAAACACAAATCTCAGTGGCTTATGACAACCAAGGTTTGTTCCTCACTCACATACATGAGAGCAGGTCATCTGCAGCTGTGCCCCAGTTGTCATTATTCAGAGTCCAATGCTGAGGACAGGCTATTCTCAAACAGAGAACAAAGGGCAAAGCATTGCAACAGCTCTTAAAACTTCTACTTGGCCCTTGCAGTACATCATATCCACTCACATTCCATTGATTGAAGCAAGTCCATGGCTAAGGCCACGCTCAGTGAGACAGGGAAGTGTGCTCCATGCACAGGAAGGCACTGAAAGCCATATGACCGTGGGAAGAGGTGTATCATCCTCTTACAGAAAGGGGAGCAAATAATGGAGAATGATAGTGTCCTCTGCCACAGGAATCATGACAGTTAATATTTCTCACTTAAGGAAGTAGTGCCCGCATTCTAACTTTGTCGCCTCAGCAACTAATAACCAAAGATTATAAGTAGTTTAATAATTTTCCCCATTGCCCCCACATTGGCTAGACAAAGCCCTACCTCATTTCCTCTGGTCAGCTGTCCTACTCACCATGCAAGGAAAGAGTTCCATTCCTCACAGCCAGGAATTTGACTCCATATGGAAAAAAGGGGGTAGAGTGGGAACTCCCATACAGTGTGATCTCAGCTTGGCCTTGGAAGGGCTTGTCCTCAGATCCAATCCGGAGCTCTCCACCATCAGAAACAAGGATGGAGTGCGCCCTGAGCTCAATGGTTCCTTGATCCATGAAAATCAGCTTGCCTCCTAATGGCCAACAAAGAAGCTTTTCAGTCTTGTTGACAATTCCAATGTTTGATGAAATCCTCTGTGTTTATATTCTCTTGTAGAAGCACAATTGAGTGTATCAAACACCCAGACCCAGAAGCACTGTATTACCAAGCCAGTTTAGATTAGTTATCACTATTCATTGCTCCTTTATTTATATTATTTTTAATAACAATAGCCTAAATGTCCAGCAATTTAGGACTGCTTAAATAGGTCATGAGAAAGTCATCATTTTTACCATTTAGCAGCAGATAAAAGCAGCAGATAAAAATTCAGTTAAAACCCTGCCAGGGTATCTCTGTGGTTAGAGCATCAGCCCACACAACAAAGGTTCCTGGGTTCAATTCCTTATCCAGGGCATGTGCCTGGGTTGTAGGCTCCAACCACGGCCAGATCAGGGCATGTGCAGGAGGCAACCAATCAATGTGAGAGATGTGTCTCTCTCATATTGATGTTTCTCTCTATCTATCTATCTATCTATCTATCTATCTCCTCCCCTCTTCCCTTCCACTTGCTCTGAAAATCAATGGAAAAAAATATCCTCAGGTAAGGATTTAAAAAAAAAATCAGTTTAAAAAAAAAACTGGGTAACAAGTGAACAGGAAATAGGAATAGAAGAAAATGTGTCAAAATTATAAGAACTGTGGTAAAAGGAAGTGTAATTAGGGTTACCATCATGACATGTGAAACATTTTAGCTGACCAACAACCACTGTACTTTTCATAATAGACTCTAATTTCCTGAAGGATTTGCTCTGCTCTATAGAAAAGAGTTGAGTGGGACTGTCAGTCAAGGTGCCCTATCCTACTTAGCCTGAGTCATGTACCCAGACTTCAAAAGGAAATCTGGAGCAAAGGGAAGAGATAACTGGAAATGCTTAGACCTCAGTAATTCTAGTGGTGATACATAATGAGCCCAAAAAGAGTTCCTACTTCTGAACCCCCCATCTGCCAAGCCCCTCCAAAACTCCCTGAATGCCATTACTTCTACACCTGATTTTCCACACTTCCCATCAATTCTGTAAACTACCCAATACCTTCTCAATAAACTTCCTTGATCTATTTGTTTTTGTTCTTCTTAATTCTTTTCCACTTTCCTATGAGTTTGAATTTCCTATGAATTTCCTATGACTTTTATTTTTTTTGTTTATTTTGCATTTTAGATTCCACATATAAGTGAAATCATACAATATTTATGCCTTTTAAAAAGATAGTTGCAATCAAATAACCTTAACTGATACAGATACTGTTTTGCTCTAATATTAAAATTTTCTGTAAAATAGGAATGTTATCCTATATAATAAAAATCTAATATGCTAAGTGTCCGGTCATTCAGTTGTCCATTCAACCAATCAAAGCATAATATGCTAATGATATGCTAAGACCACTTAACCACTCACTATGATGTGCACTGACCACCAGGGGGAAGATGCTCTGACTGGTAGATGAGCTTGCTGGTAGGGCCCAGCCAATCAGACTGCGCGAGACAGGCCGGACATGCCATGGAGCCCTCCTACAGTCCCTCCCCAGCTGGCCAACCTCCCGCATCCCTCCCCAGCCCTGATTGTGCACCGATGGGGTCCCTCAGCCTGGCCTGCACCCTCTTGTAATCCAGGACCCCTCAGGGGATGTCAGAGAGCCAGTTTCTGCCCAATCCCACAGGCCAGGCCGAGGGATTCCCCAGCCCCCAACTGGTGCACAAATATATGCACCATGCCTGTAGTTTTATAATAAAACGAAATTCGTGCACAGAAGGGGGGGGTCCCTCAGCCCAGCCTGCACCCTCTCCAATTGGGGACGCCTTGGAGGATGTCTGACTGCCGGCAGTCGGACATCCCTTTCACAATCTGGGACCACTGGCTCCTAACTGCTCACCTGCCTGCCTGCCTGATCACCCCTAACTGCCTCTGCCTGCCTGCCTGATCACCCTTAACTGCCTCTGCCTGCCTGCCTGATCTCCCCTAACCGACCTACCCTGCAGGCCTGGTTGTTCCCGACTGCCTCCCCTGCTGGCCTGCTCTCACCCCCAATGGCCTTCCCTTGCTGGCCTGATCTTGCCCCCAACGGCCCTGCCCTGCTGTCCTGATCTTGCCCCCAATGACCCTCCCCTGCTGGTCTGATCTCACCCCCAACTGCCCTCCCCTGCAGGCCTGATCTTTCCCACAACTGCCCTCCTCTGCTGGCCAATTTGGTTCTGATTGGTCAGTTTCTATGCCAGTCAGCATCAAAAGCTCTCCCTCCTAGGCAGCCATTGGCTCCTCACAGCACCCACATTTGGTTCTGATTGGTCAGTTCCTATGCCAGTCAGCATCAAAAGCTCCACTTCCTAGGCAGCCATTGGTTCTTCACAGCACCCACATTTGGTTCTGATTGGTCAGTTCCTATGCCAATCAATGTCAAAAGCTCTGCCTCCTAGGCAGCCATTCGTTCCTCATAGCACCCAGATTCTGTTCTGATTGGTCGGTTCCTATGCCAGTCAGTGTCTCTGGACCTATCAAGGGGGCCTGATCAGAAAGGCATGGCTGATCAGCTGCCCCAGTGGAGGCCTGGAGAGAAATGGAGGCATGGCTGCTGGCCAGACTGGGAGAGAAAGAAAAAGGCAAGTGCTAATCAAAAGCTGCCACAGAGGCAATGGATCAGTCTCTGCTTCTCTCTTCAGGCCTCTCTCTGGCCCTGATTCATAGCCCCCTCAGCAGTCAGTGCTGGGTTGCTACAGGACTGACTTCCAGTTGGTCAAGCCTTGGTCATGACCGGTCGTTACGACCCAGGGTTTTTATATATTAGGATTATTTGTATATCATGGAAATAAACACTTAGGATATTAAAACATATTTTCATTATTTTAATACTTCCCTTTAAAAGAATTTAAAATTTTTATATTTTAAGCAGAATTTTTTCAATAGTGTCAAAATAATTAATAATTAAACACTTTAACCTGAATGAGCTATTAAATCTATCTCCCACTTTGTAAGTGATCTGCAAAATCACTGCACTAGACTCTTCTATCCTCTAAAAGTGGTCAGGGTTGCGACTTTACATGGGGAACACCTGGATCTTCTTTTCTGAACCCCATAATAACTTTCTATCTCACTCAGAATAAATAAAGTCCTTACATTGGGCTACAAAAAGCCCCTTTTGATTTGCCACCCCATCTCTGATACCCCCGCATCATCATCTTTTAAAACTTACTTTGTGATTCATCTGTTGCAAACACACTGACCTGCTTGTTGATTCTCAAACAAGTCAGGCTTGTGCATATGTTCTTCCTGCACCTGGAATGTTCTTCTGCAGATACCCATGTGCCTCACTCCCCCTTGTCTCTACTCAAGGGTTAACTTATCACTACGGCCATCCTCTCCAGTCTATGTAAAATAGAATGCCCTTACCTCTGACCCAAATATAGTTTTCTTCAGAACATTTAGCATGTTTAATGTCTGCCCTCCCCCCACAGGAATGCATGCTTCATGAGAGCACTTATCTGCTTTGTTCACGTCTATATCTTTAGTGTCTAGAACAGTGACCAATCGGTAATTAGCACTTAATGTATCATTGTTGAGTAAATCAATAAATGGTTATGTCTTTTTAGAAAATCTGGTTTGTACCTGAATGTATTCCTTTATGGACAAACACACACACACACTCCCATTTTCTCAGAAAGGATGTTATTACATTTAATTTATAAGTCCATACATTGTCTTACTGAGCTAAAGATAGGCAAGGATGTGGAGAGGGCCCGGTGTCAGAAATTGCTCAAAATACAGATTCTATTATAACAAGGAAGGTCCTGGTGAGGGCCAGTGAAGGGAAGACACTCTTCCTCTGCCAAAGTCCTAAATCCAAAGTGCCGAATTACTGAGTTAAATTGCTGTTGTTTCCCAGATATGTACTGGAGGAATGAGAGAGAGAGAAGAATAAGACTAAAATGCCTTCAGTCACTTACTCACTAATGTTTACTCCCATTAGTCCACAGATAGTGATCAATAGACATTTGCCCCAACAGTCAACTGTAGAGGCCCTCTCTTCCCCAATTTTCTGTCTAACATTCCTCTTCAGCTTCCCTCAGCCCCTTTCACCAGCCCTTCTAGTCTTCAATCCCAAAGCCCATACCACACTCCGTATGTAAAACAGCCACAGGATGTTTGCTTAGACTCAACCTCTTAAAGTGTTCCTTCTTTTCACAATTAAGAACAAAACACCCCATGTAGGTATCCAGTTTTTCTGTCTGAAAAATGTAGAGTTCTTCCCTCAGAAAATTACAGTGAGATTTCTTGAAATGATGCTTTCAAGGGACCATTGTTGGTCCCTAGTCTTGGCTCAGATCCTAATAGATAATACAGTGGTGTCTACTCCTATCATCACACGCACCTTTACTTCCCCCACTATTGCCATGACTGCTCTATTTCCACAGCTGCTCCATCACACTAGTACCACTAGACCACATCCTTCCAACATCCCATTGCTGGTAATCCTGACTTTTCCTTTCAAATATGGAACATAGAGCTTACATACTCTGAGGTAAACTATCCACGAAGCAAGAAACTATCCTTTGGTGATCTGTAGGCTTAATGTTACAGTGGTACCACCCTGATTCCCAGACTTTCAAAGGACCAACTGGAATTTTTACTTTAATTTTCCTTCTCATTGTCATGTTGATGACAAGAATAATCATCAGAAATGCAGTAATAATAATGAATCCTGCTGTGAACAAGAGGGAAAAAATGTGACCTGTGGGCACAGGTCATTTTCTTATGTTTACTAAAACCTTTTTTCACTCACAGCCACATTTGATTAATGTCCCAGCTAATTATCTTCAACTGGTAGACCAAGGATTTGCATGGCAGGACTCCTCCATCATAAATAGTCAGAAAATCTGAACTGAACTTGATGAGTAAGTGGTAGAGGTAAGGTATGGAATTGAGGTTCCTGTACTGACTCCACTGTTGGCCTCTGAATGACCCTCAGGGAGCCCCATAAAATTAC